AAAAAAAAAAAAAAAAAAAAAAAAACCACAAGGAAGTAAAACGACGTGCTTTCTGACGCTTCTGCTTTTTAAATTAAAGAACGACAGAGGAAAGCCAAGTCTTCAGGTCATGTGCAAAGTGACTCACGTTTCCTACGCCAGGGCCAATGGCCGGCAAACATCGCAGGATTAGCATGGCAGTGGCAGCAGTAGGCACGCTCAGCGCCACCCCGCTCGGTCCTGGAAACACACGGGGACCCACAGAAGCCACTCAAGGACAAGGTCAAGCCTAAAGCACACGCTCAAAACACGGTCGATGTCAACAAAGCAGCACGAACTCCATCCTGATCTGCGGAATTCTGGCAAGGTCAATTTTTTTTCCATACTACTGGGGATTAAACCCAAGGCCCATTTTTTTGTGTTTTATTTTGAGACAGGGTTTCACTAAGCTACTAAGTTGCCCGGGCTGAGCTTGAATTTGTGATCCTCCTGCCTCAGCCTTCCAGAGGGCTGGAATGACCGGCCTGGGCCACTGCACCCAGCTTCGATTTCCATTCATTCAGTTGTGGAGTGTCCAACACTGTTACATGCCGTGGATACAGAGAGCACAAAATAAAGGAAAACTGTGTGTTCACTGCACTCACAGCTGAGGAAATAAGTCCCGTTACAGCTGGAAGATGCGGTGAGATCAGGCAACTGAAGGGAGCCATGCCTGTTGGGGAGGAGACACCTACTGGGGGGTGGGGGAGCATCCCCAAATGAGGGGCAAAGGTCAGGGAAAAATCAGCACCCGGAGGAAGAGTCCAGGTTCTTAGGAGCCTCCAGGTCAGGTCAAGGGCTCTGGACCACCCCACGGCCACCCCCACTTCTCAGGGACCCCTGCTGGGTGTGGTGGCACACTTGTAAATCCCAGCACACTGGAGGCTGAGGCAGGAGGATCGCCACAAATCGGAAGGCAACCTGAGCTATATAGCAAGACCCTGCCTCTGACTAAAATTCAAAAAAAAGACAATTCAGGAGGTGCTCCTCAAAGGCTGGCCCGTCATGCATCCTCCCCTCTCCTCCTCAACATCAGCGCAGAACCCAGGCTGCGATGAAGACCTTGGGATGGGTGGACGATCACCGAAGTTGGCACCAGCAGGCTGGCCGGCCCTGCACGGTCTACACCGGCCCCGGAAACCTCTCTGTCGCTTGTTCCTCTAAAGGAAATAATGTCGTGTTCCAGGGCCAGGCTTGCGGGGAGGGCCCCCTGGGCCTAACTCAGTCCCATGGCTCAGGCGAGGGCCTCACGTTTCAGACCCAAGTCACGGAGCCCGGGCCCACCGGACTTCTCACAGCTTCTAACAAATCCAAAGTGCTAAATCCTTCCCCGGCCTCCCCCGGAGCACCTGGAGAGCTGCTTCCTCTCAGTTCCCAGTCTCCCGCCCAGTCTCCTCCTCTCCTGTCAAATAGTTACCAAGTCACTCGTTTACTGATCCAACCCTCCCTTTCAGTCCTACAATTTGATTGTCACCTGTGATCTAAAAGAAGCCACTCACACCCAGCAGCCGCCTGGAAACCCGAGAGCGAAGGAGCACAGCAGTGAAAGCAGAACTTTGGAAACGGGGCTCATTCCAGGCAAGCACTGCTGCCTCGATTCCTCAGGACGCAGGCACATTCGTCACGTCCAGGAAAAGCCCGAGAGACGCTTGGCGTGGCCTGCAGGGAGCCCGCACCCCGGCTGTCCCAGGTTGGCAGGGACTGGGCACCCAGGCCCTGCATGGAGCTCCTCGGGGAACAAGAAAAACAGATGTGCTCTGCTCTCTGGACAGAGAGCAGAAAGTGGGTTCTGGCAGGAAGTGGGTTCCGCAGCCAGGGAAACTGCGTGGGCCTGGGGTGAAGGACGCGGAAGCCGCCAGGACAGCGATTCTGAACACACCGAGTTCTGCACTGCGCCACCGGCACCTGCGGAAGTAGCAAGGTCCCCCCTGAGAAGACAGACTTCGTGGGGAGACTGCGCAGGGCAGGGCCAGGGGTGCAGCCCACGACAGACTCCATTCTGGACAAGCGAGCATCGTTCCCTGACTTCTCAAATGACTTCATTTTTTAATAACGTTTTTAATTGTGCCCAGATTTACGTTAGCAACAGTCACTGCCCTGCTCCTCTCTCCCTCCCTCTCTCCCTCTCTCCCTCTCTTTCTCCCTCTTTTGTTTTACACCTTTGCTCTGCTGCGGGGTCCAGCACCTCCGCAAGCAGCCTGCGTGTTTATAACGTGACACTCTCTCCCTGTGGAGAGGGAGAGCAGGGCTAAAATGCACTAATGGCCAAAAGGCTCGTTTTCATCCCACTCCTGACAAAATAAACACCTCATAAAAGCAGGTGAGCAGGGCCCCTTCCCACCCTGCCCGTCCTAACAGCCCCAGAGCAGGAGAGCGAGGCCCAGTGCAGAGGGAAGCTCCCCCTCTCCAGCGGGGTGCCCCTCGGACACAGGCAGGCTGCATCTGCAGGCCCTCTCGGCGCCAGGCTGGCGGAGGATCAGCATCACGGAGAGCCTGTCTGAAAAGCCAGGCCCTCTGCTGCCCTGAGTTCCCCAAAGGTCCTTTTCCCCCTCCTCTTCTGTCCGTAGAAAATGAAGCTCCACTTACACACTGCAGGAAATATTTCAAAACATCCCCCCTTTTCTTTCTCAAAGGGCAGCATTTATGGTAACAGATAATTAACAACAAATGACAACCAAGCCGAGCACGGAGGGTCCCTGCCCGGTTGCCAAGATGATGGGATGGAGTTCCAAGATCAACAGCAGAGCGTGTTGCGTGTGTCCAGGCGGTGACGGGTGGAGACGGGAAGATGGGGGCCAAGGGGGGCCCGGGAACCTCGGCACAGACAACAGCCTCTCCCTGGGCTCTCTCCTCCTGAATTCTGCAGGATCCGTGAGGAGTGAGGCTAGAGCAGGGCTCCCAACACCATACCCAACTGGGCTGCCGCACACGCGGAAGAGTCAGGAATCGGTAGCCTCCCGGGTGGACACTGCTCTCCCCACAGCAGCCCCATCTCCCTTCCCCGAGTCTGGTGAACCCAAATAGGTTTCAGAGCCACCAGCTGTGCCCGTAACTGGAACAGAGTGGAGACCAGTTAACCCGTGGAAGTCAGGATCGGCGCCGACATTCACTCGGTAAGTCTCCTCCACTGACAGACGGGCAACCTCGGGAGAGCCCAGGTTCAAACAGTCTTATTGGTTCATCGTTCGCTATTCGTCAGATGCATTTTTTAAAAATTAGTGAAATCCAAACCTGAAGAGTTGGTTGCCTGAAAGGGCCTAAAAAATCAAAATTGTTCCGCCCCAGAGATCAAAGTAGATTAAAGTACCACAAACCGCTCTCCCCACTCCTCCAAGTACCGGTCTCACTGCTATGGGGGGTCACTTTGTGTGTCCCCAGAAAGCCTGGGCACAAGTCTGTCGCCTCTCCTGGTTGATGGACACTGGCCCTGTCCTAGTGTCAGAGCCAAGGCCCATGCGTGATCTCACAGAGGCAGCTGCTGGCTCCTCTCCCTCGCTCGAACGCCCCCCTTCCTCCATTTTATCCTCCATGAGAAATGAAAGTCCTCTTCACTTGTTCCTTGCCAACCTCAGTCCATTCACGCTTCATGACTACTGTAAACTGGGTCACTTACACACAGCAGAAAGTCACTCCTCATAACTGTGGGTGCTGGAAAGGCCCCATCCAGGCAGAGTCCCCGACTGCTGGGCCCTGGCTCCCTTTCCCTCGTCACGGCGGCCATCTTCTCACTGGAACCTCACTTGGGTGAAGGGGGTCTCTCCTGGGCCCCTTCTAAGGACACCAAGCCCATTTCTGAGAGTTTCACTCTCAAACTGCATCACTTCCCAGAGGCCCCAACTCTTACTGCCATCACTTTGGAGGTCAGGGTGTCAACAGAAGAATTCTGAAGGGACACAGATACCCAGGCCATAGCTCCGCCCAAGCAGGACCAGTACACAGAACTTGTGTAATTTTTTAAAATAGCATATATTTGATATAAGATGTCAAGAGCAACAGATGTGATTTTTGTGATTTAGAAAGAATTGTTACTATATGATAGACTTCTGAGGTTATCTCTGCAGAAGGATTAAATCAAAACAAAATGAAATAAAATTTTTAAATTTTCAAAACTCATGATTTACACAGAGCTGGTAAAATATATACATCATAGGGAAAACCTAACTCTTTCAGGAAATTAGGGAGGCATGCATGCTGGGGCTGCGTCACTGAGGAGAGACTGTATTTTTTTTTCTTGATTTCAGCTTTAAGTCTTTATTCAAGGCACATTTTAAATAAAGTTTATGATAAATGAAAGGTGTGAATGCAGGTCGGTGGCACAAACCTGAAAGCAGGTAGAAGTAATCTCCTTGTTTTAGCCAATCTAGGTAGATGCCAAAAGAGCCCACAGCAACATGGGAAAAGATACTTGTCTGAGCCAAGACTTGCCCCATCTTTGAGCTGGAAGGTGTAGAGGCTGTGTCCACCATTAGTCAGTGAGTCTGGAACTGGTGCCAAGGGGCAGTCCCATCCAGCGCCATCTTTTAAGGAAGCCAAAGACAACCCAGGGTCCGTAACAGTCTGCAGCTCCCTCAGAATTTCAAACCGTAACACCATCACATCCTGAAAAAGCAACTGTCTACGTTACTGGATGGCAATGTTCATCCTTCTTTTTGTTTTTAAGCTTCAACAGCTTTCATGCATAACACAGAACTGCACCAAAAATGTAAACCAACTAGAGGAGCTTATATCTTTGATTTGTGGTAAGGAAGAAAAAAGTGAAAAACTTGCAAAAATCCATTTTCTTATATGCATATATTTTATCCTTTTACAGAGACAGAAGGTGAAGAAAAATCATCTTCAAAGCAAGAGAAGCAAAAATATGCAGAGCCAAATACTGCAAGGGCCAATAATCCAACAGCTTCCTCTGTGAAGTTAAAATTTCCACCCAGGTAGAGTCTCCAAGGGTATTTTTTATATTTTTTTAAAAAAAAGACTAACATGGTGGTCTGCGTGAGAGTGGTAGTCTGTCCATACTGATCCTGAAATAATCCTGGCCACTCTAGGGGAGCTACTGCATATCTAATCTCCAAGTTCCTATTAAAGTCTGAGAGGGAGGAAGAGGAAGGAAGAAGAGAGCTAAGGCAACACCGAGAAGGAAGAAAAACACACGGAGGACCGGGCCTTCCAAGCTGGGCTGAGCCTCTGGTTTCTGGAAAGAGCTCCGTACTCCCTAGGCGGTGTTACAGGAGACGGGGTGAGTTGAGTGGCCCTGGCTTTGTTTTTATATCATAAAATCTCATCTTCATAAGCTGTAAAATCTCAGAATTAAAACGGAATCTGTCTCAAACGCACTTGAGCTTTTGTAGTGCTTTTTAGTTTTGCTTGCCATTTTATGAAAACATCTCCATGAAAGGTTGAAACAAAGCCATGTAAAGCAGCAGGGAGATTGGGCCCTCAAGGAGAGGCCATCCGAAGAGCCCCAGGGCCGGATGTGTCTGTCCATGGCCTGTGGCCCACTTCCTCTCTGACCACCTTTATCCCCACAAACGTAGGTAACTACTTCATAATCCAGAATCCACACATAATCCAGTAGGCAGGATTTGCTTTATTTGTCAGAACTCTTTACACTCCCTCAGAGTCAAATAGTCAAAAAAGAAAACAACATACACTATCCAGTTACACAACACACAGCTAGGTTTCTAAGAATAAATCCAAATCCACAAAACATCTAATTTTACATTGCCTTCTTAATGCTCGGATGCAAACAAAGAAATCTATAGAACAGGAAAAGAGCTCTGAAACGAAGCCCAACTGTCACAGACCACAGGATGGTCCCCTCGGGGGTGCCTAGGATAAAGAACTTACTTTGAAAAAGAAATGAGAAAGGAAAAGAAAAATACCCGTGTTTATACATGAGTGCAAACTAAAAGGGCCATTCAGTATCTCCAAGACAAATTTCTCATTGAAAACATTAAAAAAAAAAATTATGGCTATGCCAATGTGCAGGCCAGGCATGAATCTGTAACAAGAATGACAAAGAGGTTGGCCACGACAGGAGTGTGGATTCAGAAGTCTTTTTCCCAACCTTCTAAGGCAGCCCACCCCTGCAGCACAGTACACATCTCTACCTCGTTGGGACAGTGGCGTCTTCAGGGCCCAAACGTACATTCATTCAGTTCCCTCTCCATAGGTAGGACGGAGAGGCTCTTTCTCCTGTCCAATCCCCACGACGCCTCACTAATCCACTCTCTCCCTTTGGAATAGCACTAATGATGTGAAATTTGTGTTCTCAAGTTGAAACAGACAGAAGAAAAGGTAAGAAGTAGGAGAAATCCTGAACTGTCTGCATGGGAAGGGGTGACACTGTGGACCATCAAGTCCAGTCGCTGGGAAGGAACCCAAAATTCAGAGGCCCAACTTGTGAAAGATCACAGAATAAGTGAGCACAGCGGGACTAGAGTCAGTCGGGCCCACTGCTGTAAGCTCCCTGCTTACTGATGCTGTCTACTCTGCCGGCTTCTAAAAATGCATCCGGAAGATGCTATTTAGAAATACTGCATTAAAAAGGACGAAGAAGTAGGCAGAATCCAGGACATTACTCTCAACATGAGCATGCTGAATTATGTGGACTCTACCGAGAGCCTTCGTCCTGCTCCTGACTGCACCGCAGAATGGAGGAAGGAACCACTGGTAGGAAGCTCGGCCCCGGCAAAGCCCAGGACTACCTCGGAGCGAGCTGGGCCTAGACAAACTACATTCCTATCATTCTTTTTGAAAAAATCTTTATTACAAAGTATCATCTAAGTGTTATAAAAAAATAATTCAACCTCGCAAGCACAAGGTCACAAGTTTGATCCCTGGTACCAGAAATAAATAAATAAAAATAAATAAATAAGTAAATATGAAATAATTCAAATTATATAGCAGCTGTAAAATAAAAAGTGTAAGGTCATTATGCAACACTGCTTCTCCAAAACTTCCCAATTCCCAAGTTTACTCCCTAAATAATTATGAGTAATGGTGGCCTCTCTGCCACTCTCTCTCTGCCTCTCTCTCTCTCTCTCTCTCTGTAGTACCTCAGTTCACAAACTCAATTCTTTCCATAATTCTGCTCGCAAACCACAATGGACAAGAACTGAATGAAATTCATGATTAGGTTCAATGTTGACCTTACTGGAAAATCAGGTTGGAGACCATCATTGCAGAGAGAATTAAGTGTGGAAAGATTGCAGCATACATAATACAGGGTGGTGAAGAAGAGTATTGTGCAAAAATATAGGTATATATAAGATATATATGTAGGGCATGTACATCTGTAAGTATATTTGTATAATCTATATCTCTCTCATGTATATAAGAAAGGTAAATACCACCATTGAGGGTATATATATATATATATGTATATATATATATATATATATATATATACATATATATATATATGTATATATATGTATATATATATATATATACATATATATATATATATACCCTCAATGGTGGTATTTACCTTTCTTATATACATGAGAGAGATATAGATTATACAAATATACTTACAGATGTACATGCCCTACATATATATCTTATATATACCTATATTTTTGCACAATACTCTTCTTCACCACCCTGTATTATGTATGCTGCATTTTTGTATAATACTCTTTCTGTGAACTCTTCTGTTTTTTCAATTAAAGATCCCTAACACAGACCTGAAACAAACAGCTGCTTCCGACCACAGTCTTGAACTAGAGGAGAACAAACGCTGAGATCAGACAAACAGACACAAGCCTGTGCGAGTTTCGCATGAAACGGACACCTGGGGACCCTAAAGGATCGTTCTGGATTCGCCCTGTCCCAGCCGTAGAGACGGGCAGCACAGGGCAAGAGAGCAGGAGATGGACCTGTCAGGCCTGACACAGCCTCTCAGGGGAGACCGGCGGATGCTAATACCATCTCACCAGCTGGTACATCAAACTTTTCCTGCGTGCCACAGTCTCAGCGATATCCATTTTCAAGACTGTGCGTCACATACAACATCTCATTCAAGGGCTACAACCATCTTGAACACTGATAAGCCCATTTTACAGAGGACTGAGAACCAAAACCCTCCCATCATCAGCCAAACAAACCAGAAACTGGCACAATCAGCATGTGTCAATCGGTCTCCCTAACCATGTCCAATTCCTCCAGCCCAGGCTGTGTCCTGTGCACCCAACCCGTTACTCTGGTCAGCCCTGGATGCTTCTCTTAATGCCATGGGGTAAGGGGTCAGGGCCATCCCGGTGGGCCAAGGGCACTGACACCCTCTCCTCAGCACGACCTCTGTCATGAGTGACCGGTGGCAAGTATGAGCTTCCCACGCTATCTCTGGTCATGACAGGCACCAAATCAGGACGCCTACCAACCCTGCGGACCCAAAGGCCTGCCTGGAAAAGTCCCCATGGGCCAGGGCTGGTGACAACTCCTTGAGAAACAGGATTAAGTCAACCAGTGATTCACACGCCCCGGAGTGTCCGCCTGGATGGGGACAGTTCCGAATCGTGAAAACGCTACACAACCACCACATAACCAGGAATGACAGCAGCTGACATTTGTCTACAGACCAGAAATGCTGCTGAGAGCTTCACACGACCTTCCACACTCACAACAGCGCAAGACAGATCTCACCTCCTCGGGCCCCACTTTACAGGTGGGGCGAGGGGAGCCGTGGCGTCCCACGCCGTGCACTGCTGGGGTAACCACAGGTGGTTCGGCCCTGAAGCACAGCAGGATTCTAAGCGTTTGCCACCGAAGGCACATACAAGGACAGCAGTAAGCTGAAAATAAAATTTGACTTGAACTTCCTCCAAGCCAGTCCTTAAAGAAAAGGGTGAAGACTTAACTCAATGGGGCGTCTGAGGGGCTGCCCCCGGCGCAGGATTTTCAGGGTTAAAGCCGGCAGTGCAGATGCCCTACACAGGCTTCGTGATGTTTTATTAGGCCTCTGGTTATTAAAAAAGAACAACATCTGAAGCACCTCCTCGCCTCATCATTACAAACGCTGAATCGTTCTGCAACATTCTGCTTATGAAGATGAAGGGGTCCGGGACTGTGGAGCCTCGATAACCCTCGAGTTCCAAGCAGCTCATCGGTTAGTGGAACCCAGAAAGGGGACAGAGGCTGTGCTGTAATGTTGTTTCCCGAAGCCATCTAGGATTGCTTTCTCAAAAATACAAAAAACAAAACAAATTTCCCTATGCCACAAGCTGACTCAAGGCCATGGCTCTTTTTAAACCTGGTGTTAACCTTGTCAGAATTTACAGAAAAAGGCTCAGGAAAACCACCCAGAACAAGAGGAGATGTTAACTCTGAAATCAGCCATAAGCCCCATGCAGATGGAAAGTGAGTTTTAGTTTATTTTTTCCCCTACAGCAGTACCTTGGGTGTAAGGTCTGTCTTCACTGTGACCTTAGAAAGTCAAGCTGAAAAGATCATTTACTGTCATTTGGTGCAAACTGGTTCTCCACGGGTAAACTGAGGCCCAGCAATGCAATCACACTGCCCAGAGTGAGGTGTGAAGCCGAGTGAGGACCCAGTGAACCCCACAGAAAGTGAGCTGCTCCCTCGTGCAGATGAGAGAACCTCCTGTCACCGCCGAGCTGTGCAGGAGGAAACAGGACCAGGACGAGGACCAGAATTTCAAGTCCAGTCCCGGTGACACCACGGGTCTGCCCAGACTCAGGCGGACATGAAAAAGGAAAGCAAATGTTTTAAGAATCTTGCATAAAATAAACAAACAACCACTCAAGTGGAGAAGACCAAATGTCTTTAAGGGCTAGGCCAAACCTCTGTCACAACATCTTGAAATTTGCAGAAAAATTGAAGAAATTTTAGACTAAATATGTCATAGAGCTATTCCCACCCATGTAAGTTTGTATCTAGACTAAGGGTAATTTTTCAAAATTGATAAAAGGAACATAGCATCACTGCACTCAAGGAAAATACCTGAGCACCTACCACCGGCTGCTCACGGTGCCAGGTTATAAGGCCTACAAAGTAACAGCAACCTTTGGCAGGGAAAGCCAAGAACAAGAAAAGGAAGGTAGGCCGGGGCCCCAACAAACACACCTTCACACCTCCAAAATGCTAAGATGTGGTTCAGCAGTCCCAGAGAAAATCTCCAAGCGTCCACCACCCTGCTCACCCTGATGCCCCGCGGAATCAGTGGCTGGGGGGGTGGGTTTGGGGGGCACTGTGCTCCTGAGCACCTGAGGGAAGGACTAGCCCTGTGGGAAGGAGGTGATACAGAGGACGGGACCGGACGCAGAGCAGCAGACAAGACTGAGGACGGCAGATGGACGGGAGGACGGATGGACAGGAGGAAATCACGGTGGCGCACTGAGGCACTGGGTGGGCACAGTCCTTGTGGGCTGGCGAGCAGTGGACATGGGGTGAGATGGGGTGCTGGGGGACTCCCTGGGCTCCAGGCCGCTGTGGGAGAGCCCGGCCTGAGTCCTGGGGGCCACACAGCTACCTAGGCGGCACTGCTAATCTCATTTTTCAGGTCTTTTTTCCCCAAAAGGGTATGATTTCATCCCTTGGATGTTTCATGCTAGATGGAAGCAGGTGGAGTCCAAGGTTTCATGATTCCTCAAACATCTCTGCCTTCTCTGGCCCTGCAGCCAAGGACAAGCGGGCAGACGTGCTCAGACCCTGTTCTCCAGGGATCTGCCCAGACATCGCTGCTTGGCCTGGCTGGACAAGGGTCCAGAGTTCCTTGTGATCCCCTGCCGCGAAACACCACAGCGGCAAAAGCAGACCGAGTGCCCTAAGCACAGCATGCACAGATCCTGCCACACACTGGGGGGAAAACAAATACACGGAGACAGAATCAGAAGACTGGAAATGGACGCGCACCTATTGTTCAGAAAAGCCATCTCAGCAAAGAGAAATTCACATGACAAATCTTGTCCGTGCAATCACGTTAGCCACCCTTCTAATCACGATGCACCCAGCGTGAAGTACGACAACTCTTTGAAGTAAGCTAGTGCTAAGCATTTGCAAGGAGGCCTCCTTCCTTCTTCTCATCCGCTCCTTCCTCACCCCTTCCGTCCTGTCTCCTTCCCTCTCTTTCTTTCCATTCACCATCACCTCCTCTCTTCGCTTTCTTCCTTCTTTCTCTTTGTCCTTCCTTCCCCTCCTCCATCCCTCCCTCCCTCCTTTCCCTCCGTCCTTTCCTCTCTTCCTCTTTCCTCTCTTCTTCTTTCCTCCTTTTTTCCCAAGCACGCTGCATTAGTTCTCCCCCTCCAGGTCAATCTTAGTGAGCAGCTGGCTCTCTAGAAAGCACCTGCAAAGCCACATCTCCGTGCTCACACCAATGTCCGGGTAGCCAAGGAGAAGCCTTTCCCGTGGGTTAGTGTTTCCAAATTTGAAGGGCATTGTTGGTGTGTGTTTGGAGGGGACAATCTTCCTATTTTTCAAAAAATGCCCACATACACAATCACTTAAAACGGAGCTTGTGACTTAGACAGGCCGTGAGTTCAATTCTGCCAGGGGTGGTAAAAACACTCCAGAGTCGTAACCTCCTTTCTGTCCAATGGCACAATAGGTTTCAAAGAAGCCCAGGCCTGCTCTGAAAGACTCCTGTTCGACATTGCAAGGGCCTCACAGAGAAGGAGCACCAGGCCTGGAATAAATGAGGGAGATGGTGACCTTTGGCCCCATTCTTCTGCAGAAAGCCACACACCCTGCAGCTGGAAAGGAGCTGGCGGGTACTGGTGCTGCTAAACCCTGGCCTCTGGGTAGCTCCCAGTCTTGGCTCCTTTCACCGTTCTGACCTCACGGGACTGGACACAGCACCAGGGAGTGAGAGCAGAGCAGCTCGGAACCAGTGGCTCTGCTGTCCCTCATCCTCCGTCCCCTACACCGTTGAGGCCCCCGCATGTGGCACATTTCACCAGCAACAGGCGAGATGACAGATTCAGCCAGAGCAGAGCAATTAGTGCCAATCAGGCCTGTTCCTGGGCCCTAGTGAAGGGGTAGAGTGGCAAGATGTGGGAAAATGCTAGACATGTGAGAGTCAGCTATCAGAGGGGCAATCACACGGGGAAAGTAAGTGAACTGGGGCCCAAGAGATGCCACCCAAATTCACCATGCGGCAGGATGAAAACCTCACCCTCCCCGTGCCCACCTCCAAAATGAGCGAGCTGCTGCAAAAGCCCCAGAGACCCAACGTCAGCCTGTGGTGGAGAGGCCCAGAGGTCTGAATAGTTTACGAGATGCACGGGATTCCTCCGGGTGGCTTCTGAAGCCACAGACACACATCTGCTTTGGAAATCATTGGCGATCGTTTCATTCTCCCCGGCAGACTTCGGGAGAGAATGGTTTTCTCTCTCATTTCATTTCTAGGTTCCCAGTTGCTATTTTGGTTCTCAGTTTCCAGGCAATACTTACATATGGACATGGGGTGGCTGGAAGCGGCTCTGGTTAATGTTGTAGTGCGTGAAGGCCTGGGTGGGGTTGGAGCTGTACTCGTCCACCGTGATGGTCACCTTGCCTTGGGAAGCGATCCCATGTGCCATCTTCCGGCATGAGCGGGTCACAGCTTCCGGGAGCAAACGAGGAGAGCAGGCATGGTTCACTCAGCCGCCCTCTGAATCCAAGGGTCTACTCATCAATGCCGCTGTGCGTTTCTACAAGAAAGAGCATACACTGTGGGTGCGTGTGCAGGAGGAGAACCAGGGGAAAGAGGCTTCTGAGGGACAGAGGGGACCAGAGATGGAGGAGGGCACAGAATAACAATTCAGACGCGCCGTGGACTCACGCCAGCTCCCCACCGTGAATGGAATCCTGCACTGCAAATGCACTAATACAACTGAAAATTATAAAGAGTATTCGACATTGAGACATTGAAACCTGGCCCTGCAGAGATCTGCCTCGGGGCTGCTGCCTCAGGGGTGCATCTGTTCCTGACTCATCACCACACACACTTCGGAGTGGACATTCCGCTCCCAAGGGCCCCGCTGGTGATAGCAAATCATCTCACAGCCATCCGAACTCAGATCTCCTCTTTAATTATAATTATGGCACTTAACAAGATTACGAAGGGCCAAACCCACAGTTGCCATGGTGTCTGCTATAAACGGCTCATGCTCAGAGAGAAGACTCTTCCCAACCGTCCCTGCTAATTGGAACGTTCGGTTTCTGCAAAGTTGGTTCCAGATAATCCTTTGAAGTCTACTTGTTTAAGGGATCTGTGTAAGGCAAGACAAATGCAAGCAAAAAAAACACAAAATTATGTGCTCACATCAGATACCTGAGCAGAACTCCAATAGGCACACATCACATACAACTTTTTCCCGAGCAGTTCCCACAGTATGTAAGGCCTGGTGTCCTGTGCCTCTATCTCTGGCCACGTACTTCATGCTGATTGAAGTATGATGACTTTAAACCCATCAGTCACTGAGGAAAAGCCAGCTGCTTCTGGGACTGGGCTACCAGCAGGACAAGTCCCTCAGCACCCACTCCTCTGGGCCCTGGCCGAGGAGAGAGGGTGGCAGCCAAGACATCTGACACCTTGTTCTTGGTGCTGTATAATTCTCACTGCTCATTGCTACTTATTTGCTTTTTCATTTCCATGAGTTCGGATCCATTTGAAAAGATCACTGTTAGCTGCTACACTGGCTGGAGAAGTGAAGATGTCTATTTTCATGGTAGGTGTGCAAAGACAGAGAAAAGCAACTCCGGGTGGGGCTGGTGCTGGTAAGCAACGTGGCAGAGAAGCACCAGGAAGCACACTTCTCGGGGAGCCCTTGGGGAACCCATATTCTTACTTTAAATTCTCAGAATGCGCCTGCCACATTCGCCAGCCAGTAAGCCCCAGAAACCTTAGCTGCTACCTCGAACAAAAATACTTAGAAGATTTGATTTAAATTTGGCACGAAACATATTAAATATCGAGCAAAAGGCAGATGGCTTGCCATAGGCCATTTATTTTATTATTCTACAACCCGGGGCAGTGTAGTCCCCCATATGCTGGTCTGAGCCGAGAAAGCCCCAAAATTCCACTGGAGCCGCTGCCCTCTTCCCGCTAGCAGGGTGAGCTCAACTACGCCCACCTTCCCAGTTCCCAGGGCGGTGCCGGCAATAGGAGCCCCGCAGTTCTGGGTGCTCTGTTCTGCTCTGGCTGCTGGGCGGTGTGAGTCCTGGGGCGCCGGCTGACAGACAGCCAGGCCAGCAGAATTAACTCAATCTAAATCCTGCCCCTCTCCTCCTATATAAAACACCTATAAGAACTGCTTACAAATCATAATGTAGCAGTTTTCATACCAAGTTTGCAGCTGTTTCCTTAATTTCCTCCACAATTATATTTTACTGTTATTTTGCATAACAGTAAAACACAACACCTGCTTCAAATTGCAGTCCTGTTCTAAGTACTGTAATTCTCTTTTGAGACACAAAGTACCGAGACGGGACTGAAGCGCAAAACTGCATAATTGCGTGGCGCTGAAAAGTAAATACAAATGAAAACATCTTCCTGTTATAGAAATGACTGTCATTAAAAAGAATGTTAGCCATCAAAGCGCGAGGGGGAAAATGCACATTTCCAGTCTGCAAGAACTTAGTGTTTGCATAAATTAGAGAATGGTATAAAAATCACTTGGCAATTCTTATGTTCCTTCCATCAATGCCTATTGTGTGAAACACAGAACCTGCAGAAGAAGGGGACCCAGACTCGGGTCTAGACTGGTCTGCACCCGTGGAGTAAACACACTAACTAAGCACAGTATGGCCTAGAAACAAGGTGTGCACACTTAGAATTTAAACACCTTTCCATGACCTGTGGGAGTCAGCCTCGCGGCCTCCCAAGTTCTCCTGCTGCTCTAAGGAGAGACAGAACTGAGGAGGGGGAACCCGGCACTCTGGACCTGTCCCTCCATCGAGTCACCGTGCTGGTTGCCCACCTCCGGGGGCACAGCCCGCCCTCTCTCCTTTGCCCCAAAACAAACCCAACCTCTCGGCGTCAGCAGCCACAGGGCCCCGTGCCTCCACACGCGGGACTAAATGGGTGGCTGGCATCTCATCTGAATTCATCTTTACGCTCCCTTTCAAATGTTTTATCGAAACAGTGCACCTGCCGTGCCTCCCGTCTTTAATCTGGAGCCCTTTGAAGAAAATGTCAGACTGAGGCAGAGAGCTTCAAAACTTGCCCAGCACTGCAACAGACAAGTCAAGAAAAGGCTGCTTTCTTAACATGCACTGTTCTCCTCCACCCACATCTCACAATGAACAGACACTAAGAACACTAAGCATAAACACGTGCAAAGACTAGATTTTTAAAACTCTCACAGCAAAATCATCTCCCTCTAAACGAAAATTTACAAAAATCTTCAAAGCAAACAGGAGGATGCTGCCTAAAACAGCCAGTGGTCGACACCTTACTGCCCATTTTTAGGCAGTAAAAGCACCCAAAGGACTTTATTTCAGAGCCTCTCACCCTCCTCACACTTCCTTTACCTTTTCATCCACAACAGCTAAAGAGAGCAGTTTTCTTTTTTGAATTTTTATTTCCAACTTCAACACATTTGCCCCACAAAAAGCTGCCACAAAGCGCCAAGATGCCTAACAGGGGCTGACGGTGGTGTTGTTTAATCTGCTTTTTAAAAAATATCATGTGAGCACCCTTGGCATTTCCTGGACAGCAGTCACCGCCACTGCCCCTCGGGCTGCACAGCCAGAGGCGTTCTCCCCCAGAGATCCACTCGGAACCCTTCTTCACATCGGTGGCAAGAGAAGGACTAAAAAGTGGAAGAATTAAATCAGTGTCTCCACCTCCCAGACAGAAGTCCAATTTACCAAAAGTTCCAAAGCTACAGTTCATGACCTCTCTACCCTTCGTCCTGCCTGACAAAGGCTACGCCAAAGCGCCCTGGGTCATCTTGTTCAAGCAAGGATGCTGCTGTCATCCCTCCCAGAGAGGACATTGCTGGCCTCAGCCTGCAGGGACTTTGGACTCGCCCCCTCCAACTCCGCTGTTTCCTGCCTCCTGCTCACACCCCAGCGCACCCCCTACTTCTCGTGCCCACTCGCAGCTGCCCATCCTGCGCGTGCCAGCCGCGCCCACGCGCCCTCCCCAGCATCTCCGCCAGAGTTTCGAGGGTGCGGACACGGAGACTCACGCGCCCTCCCGTCCGGGCACGGGGCGCCCCCCCCACTTACACCTGAACTTGTCCCCCGCACTGCGGACACCCAGCTGGCGCATCCTTTCCGAGGGAGGGAGAGCAGGGCTTTGCTCCCGTGCCTGGCAACGCGTGGAGTCTATATAGGGTGGGGCTGGAGCGCGGAATTCTCCACTTTGGATTGGTTTGTTTGTTTTAAATCTGGGGTGGGCAGCTGGAGGGGCTGCAGCTTCAGCATGCAGGCACACACGCGCACGCACACGCATGCACACACATGCACACAGCACACTCGCCCGCCCTCCTGACTGCGCGCGGCTCCCCTTTTCCTTCCTTCCTTCCTGCAGCGCCAGCTCGCCTTCCTCCCCCGGCCCCGCGTGGCCACCGCGTCGCCTCCGCCAGGCTCCTCCGGGCGACTGTGCTCCCTGCCCAGAGTGATGATGACCGAGGCCAAGG